CAGCTACAAGGACCAGGGATCACTACACACAAAAGACCAGTTAATGACAACCATCAATCACAGTGACCGATAATCTCTCCTCCTTATCACAACCATACACCCACAACAAAACACACTAATCATCCATCTCCTGAAAAGGACTAAAGCTGATCTCCGCCAGTCAGCTGTGCGAAAACAAACAAACCACACCAGAGCACAGAGCGCTGTCCTCTGAAGATGCCGACCACAGAGACTGGTGAAACGTTAGGAAGAACAACCGTCAGAACATGGCCAAAGAGCCCGAAAAACCCACAACAACCATTAGATCCCGGCCATGAAAGCCTTCACGAATACATTCTAGTTCAGGTTTCCAGTCATACCATTCCAAGCTTCTTTTCCTCTGGGTTTTTGCTTTCCCTCTTGAACAGTTAATTATGCCTACAAAGCCTTGTTAGGCTGTTTCAGATAAGCCCTGTAAGGATTTTTCTACAGGTATAATACAGGTATTACATTATTTTGATTTTAAAAAATTAAATTTCCAATAGCAGACATTCAAATTGATTCACGTTTCCCCTAAACCTGGTAATAACTGATCTTACTGAGCGAGGATGCTGCTGCTTGGACTATATAAGGATCAACACTCAAAAGAAACAAGTTTGCTATTAATATAAAGCAGGGGTGGCCTTGTTTCAAAAGAAACAAGTTTGCTATTAATATAAAGCAGGGGTGGCCATGTTTTTTTCCCCGGCGGCTATTTTGAAACCGCCAGTCAGCTATGTGAAAATGGGGGCTTTGCGATGATCGCTTCCCTGTGATCATCGCAAAGCGAAAATACCCCATAGAGAACATCGCAAAGCGGTCGCTTTTACGATCGCAAAAACAGCATCACTAAGTGATTTTGTCACTAAACGGAGCAATCGCTAAGCGAGGCACCACTGTATTCACTGATAACTTCCAATTGAATTGGGACATATCTGTTCAGAGCTATATGATGAAAATTGGTGTCCATCCCCATGCCCTTTTAGTATATGGATTAGACCAGGCAAAAGACACACAAAAATACCTGTTAAGCAGAGAATTGAGGATACTGAGCACCAATCAGATCTTCCCAGCCTACAAAACACTATGGCAAGGGCCTATATTTAAAATGTTATAGAACCAGCTAATTAGCTAACATTGCTGGAAATAAAAGGGTTTAGGAGAGCTTTTACTCTGGAAGTACAAGAATGTCCCACTTACTGAGAGGTTGTGTTCCTGCTCCCTTGGCAAGGTCTAGTCCATGGAGCACATATTTTTCCACTGCCCGCATTATGTAGTAGCACAAAATCAGATTATTACCCCATTGATTGAAAACATATCTGGCCAATCAGAGAAAACTAGACTTGAGTATCTCCTCTCGGACATGGATAGTAAGATGTCATACAAGGTAGCTGGGTTCTGTCTGGCGATTCTCAAGTTTCAGAAATTTCCTCATACTTGACTCTGATATTGGTATGGTTTTGAATTGCTTGTATACTTGTTCGTTTTATGTCTATGTTTGATGTTTTTACATATTGCAGAGACAGTGTGGATCTGGGTTGTCCACTTCTCTGTATAACAAGTCTAAGGATTGTAAATAAAGAATTGATTGACTGATTGACTACAGAAGAACTACACAACTTTAATGCTGACAATGAATAAATTGAAATAGAGGTTTGGTCTATCCTGGTTCATTCACCAATCCAAATGTAGCCAATTAGAGGAAGATTGAGAAGGGTAGCAATGAAGGAATTGGAAAAGATCATCAAGTGTAAGAATTGTGGAGAAAATGTGTGTGAGGAAATTAAATAAGGAGAAGGAATAAAATGTTTCCATTTCCTTACAGTTCTTCATTGATAAAAGCAAACATCATATTGTGTAAAACTGTTAACTTGTTACATCACTGAGCTTAACTGGTTAACTAGCTTCTTTACTGACTAATTAACTGGTTACATAGCTGACAGAACACATAACTAACTGTTTTCAGACTTGACTGCTAACACTGACAGATTCCTGACTGGAAATAAGGCAGGTGGAGAGAGAACTATTGCTGCTACTGGATTGATTAACATTCACTGAAACTCCTAGACAAACCCTCTTAAAGGTATCATATGTAGATTGCAATACAGTGGTGCCTCGCAAGACGAATGCCTCGCGAGACAAAAAACCCGCAAGACAAATGGTTTTTGTGATAGCTATTGTGCCTGGCAAGACGGCTTCTTCTATGGCTGTGGTCTGCAAGATGAATGTTTTTCACAAGACCGATGCCTCACAAGACGAAAATAATTTATTCGTCTTGCGAGGCTCCCATAGGAATACATTGCAATGCATTCCTATGGGAAACCGCTTTTCGCAAGATGAAAATTTTGCAAGACAGCGCTACTTGTGGAACAAATTACTTTCATCTTGCGAGGCACCACTGTATATCCAACAAGGATATGTCACTGGAGACAAAGACCAAGATAATTCACATTCTTGTATTTCCAATCACCACATACAGATGTGAAAGCTGGACTGCAAAGAAAGCTGACAAAATTCATTCACTTGAAATGTAGTGCTGGAGGAAAGCTTTATAGAAACTCTGGAATGCCAGGAAAAAAACCAGTGGGTCCTAGATCAAATCATTTCTAGACTTCATGCAACAATGGGAAACCCCCGAAATGGAGTAATTTACATGACTTGAGCAAAATCACCTTGCACTTAAACCAGAAGAAGCTATACTAGAGAAGTTAACTTTTACAGTATAATTCACAGAATACCACTGTAGGATTCTGGGAGCTGTAACACACAAACTAAAATTTCCAGTCTCAGACATTGTCTAGAATATCTACGAAACAACAGTGACAACTCCACCAGTAAAATCAGAAGTTCCCCACTGGGTTAACTGTTGAACAATGAGACAATCCCTAATAACACAGTCCTTCAATAAACTAAACATCTTGAAACTAGGCTTGCATTTTCTTAATAGTCAGCTTTGTATCCATCAAGAACCAGGAAAAAATGTGGAGATTAAACATAAACATAGTAGAAAACTGAGTTTTTAGGCTCAAAAAATGACAAATGAAAAGGCACTCCAAAAATAAGTCAAATTATAGAATCAGAATAAAACTGAAAGATAACCTGTCTATCCCTTCCTACCATGGACATTTCAGGTATAATTATAATTTCAGGGAAAGAACCACAGACGAACATTTAACCAGTGACTATATATCATTCCATAGAGTCTGCGGTATGACACACTAATCTAATTACCAGTGTAGCTCACATCTGTGTAACTGAATTATCATGACTGCTCTTTTTTATTATTAGTTTGCACTTCTGGAAAGGTACAATATTATCTACAGAATTCCTTTCATTTATGATCATTGATACAGAATTTAATTATGTTCACTGAGCTTGCTCCACTTAGAAAATTGGAAACTGGTTTCTCAAAATTAAAAAGATACACTGAAGAAATTAATGATCAGCTTACTCATCAGCGAAGCTCTAAGAAAGCCAACTGGCTACCCTTGTGCTCTCCAGATCTTCATTCTACAAACATCTAATTCAAAAGGAGAAAATGCCAACTCCACCCTTTCTAAATCCCAGCTATATATTTTGATGTTTGCAAATTCTAGCCTGCCTTCACAGGCCCATAGGGAGAGCCATTCACTTTTCCTCATTTCATGCTAAAATAGAATATAATATCAGGCAGTTCAATCTCATGATTAAGATTAAGCAGGTGTGACACAGCCAGTGGCAGCACAACCAGTGATCTGCACAAATCGAAATTGTGATTGTACCTTTGGACAGCAGACAGTCACTTGTTTTTCAACCCAGGAAATCCCTCTCTCTTCAATTTACTATTTAAAACATTCAATGAAAAATTGTCATGGTGCTTCCACAAGGCCACACTTACTATTCTAGTTCAGCATGTGTATTACAAAGAAGAGTCAAAAAAGAGTAGCATAAAAAAGACTAGGCACATGAAAGGTCCTTTTTAGAAAGAGAACTGCTTCAAATTATTGCAGAAAAATATCTTATCAGTGTGTGCTTCAGTACAAAGACCCAGTCCCATACAGCTATGGTTACACCAAATAAAGCTATGTGAACCTTTATCTTATCACTGTTGTTCACTTGGCAATTGCAAACATGCTGAAAAAGTCACTTTTTTCATGAACTCTATATGTTGTTCTCAACCCCAAATGAATTTGAGTATATATAACTGCAGTCATCCCTTGTTACATTGACCATTTTCTCACTTGTCTATTATTATGTGTCTTAATGTTAGAATTATGCATGTATACATGTGCCACCTTATGCATGTATACATGTGCCACTGCATAAATAACAGCAGGAATGTGACATGTGCACTTAACCTCCACCCATTACACTAAGCTGAGTAAAGAAAATTGAGGTACTAGTTTTTAAAAGCTACAGATAAACATAATTTTTCTCTGTTGCAGTGGAGAAAAGCCTGTTATCACCTCCTTCTGTCTACCTAACACCTGAGGTTTCTTGAATATAAAGAAACAACACCCTAGCACGTTATCATCCAAGCTTAGTTTCTCTAAATTTCATTCTCCAGACATCTACAAAAACTACATGCTAACTGCTGCTATTATTCCATGATGAAAGTCAATGTGAATGTGAACAAAACGACCAAGGCCTGTTGAGTGTTGGACTCTGTGGAACTCTTTCTATATAGGTACCCTTCAAAAGCACACTTGTGGAAAGCATTAATGAAGAACTAGGTAACCATGTATGTTTGCCAGACTATTTCATTCCTGCTAATACCTGCACATACATTTTCCCTATTTGTTTCATGTGGGTATAGAACAACCCATATCCTATTACCTTCAGTGGTAGAAAAAAAATCTCCATAGGAAGACAGCATCAAAGCCTAATTCTAAAACTTGCTGCACCAAATAAAAAACCCATGACAGGAAGCCAGCACTGCAGTCAGGATCTGCTCTGCCAGCAACTGGATGTGTTCTATAATTTATCACACCTGATCTACTTACATCTGTAGATGAAGATTCAAGGACGATGCCAAATCCTGAAACCTGTGGCTCCAGTTTCAAAGAGGACTCAGCTGCTTCCACATTTGACCTTTCAGGATGTGTTGGTAGCTTTTTGTCATTTTCTAAAGTGTTGGGCTTTTTATTCACAGTAAGAGGTTCAATAGTCTTTGGGGGCAATTTTTTCTTTTTATTTCTCTTTCTTGACACGGCTGATTTCTGTGCACAAACCAGAGGAGCTGAAGGTTGTTGTCTGTTTTGAGCAGCAACTAAAGAAAGAAAACACCATGAGTATATTCACAAGTGTGTGCGCAGTTACCAGAGTCTACAGATGCCAAACTGGCTCTCCAGTGATTCCCGCCCATAACCTTTATAGGCTTAGATGTGAGAATTTGCATTCTGCTTGGACCAACAACTTTGCTGAAAGGTACTTTTTAAAAACCTTAGTAGATGGTGCTCTGCGTTCCCAGTCCTGAAGTAAGAGAAATTTGAAGGCTTTGGAGCTCAGAAGTGTAGACTCCAAAATTCAAAAGGTTACTGGGGTCCAAAAGATGCTGAAGAGTTCTGGAGAAATCAAGAGGCTTTTCTCTCCCGTTAACAGTGAAAATGCTGAGCAGAAACCAACTAACTCAAAACTAAGATGTGACTCTCCAACATGCTCTGTTGAGCAAACACTGCAAATTCCTGAACAAATCCTTCAGTGCTCCAAGGACCTCTGGAGTGGATGTTTGTTCCCTTTCTAGGAGTGAAACCTGAAAGCAGAGTGCAGGAAGCATCAAAAGCAACTCTGTCCTTTGGTTTGTTCCAACCAACTGATGCTCCTCTCAACACAAAAAAGAGAGGGGTCCCTAGTGAGTTCCATATTCTTGCCGAGCTTCTAATAGGTCCCCTCCTTCAGCATCAAGTAGAATTCTTCAGTAGAGATGACCAGGCCCTGCCACCCGAGACATGGAGAAGGATAAATACTGTATTTGTGGGTAGGGGTATTGCCAAGAAATTAACAAGAAAGGATCATCCTCACCATCTAAGGCTTAAGAAATTAACTATCCATTCCATTTTAGAATCCAGCATTCCATGTTCATTTTGACTTGTTGTGTGGTAATATACTGATTTTTATTGTTTATATGTCTCATCTCACACATATGACATATAAACAGTCCCATTAGAAATTGCTACCAAACAGTGTGTTTTTAACTATATATACTGTAGATAAAAATCCAGCTTTCTAGTTAGTGTGGGAACAAATTTGAGGACAATGATACTTCAAATTTTGGAGACCATTCTAACATAAGAAATGCTTCACCAATACATGGCTATTCCTTAATTCATAAAACTTTGTAATGACTTGCCTGTATGAATGCAAGATTTGCTTGTATGAATGCAAGACAGATTGTTCCTCCCCCCCCAACAGACTGTCTTGCAACAAAGCCAAGCCTCCCTCGCACAGAGGAGTCATCAAATTTAGAATAATAAAGCTATACAAAAATAACTACTGTACACAAACATAGTACAAGGTGCTGTGAACCAACCTTATATACCTGGGAAGGTAGCTTCAACCCTTCTAGCCAACTGACTACTTTTCCCTGGCAATTTATTTTAATTCCAATCATTAACTTAAATCTCAGTTCCTCCAGGTGAAAGCCACTGTTTGCATCCTTATTACTATTTCTTTAAAATATCTGAAAGGGGCTGTGTATTTCAATATCTGCATTTTTCATCCTGGCTGAAAATGTCTAACATATAGCATATTGTTTGGCTTCTCATCCCCCTAGCCTCAGAGATCTCAACACTATTGCCTATTTGCAGGAAGGCAATAAAAAGCAATACATTTGCCAAACATAAATATCTCCATATAATATCTCAAGCATCAAACTGTGTGCAAATTCAGGAATGTTTAATAAAGAATACAAACAAACAAACAAACAAACAAACAAAGCCTATATGGTCCAGATAGTGAGAATAATTTATGGACTTGACATTGCTTTTATAAAAGGAGGCTACCATGTTTTCCCGAAAATAAGACAGGGTCTTATATTAAGTTTTTTCTCCAAAAAACACATTAGGGCTTATTTTCAGGGGATGTTTTATTTTTGTTTTCATGTACAACAATCTACATTTATGCAAATACAGTCATGTCATCTTCTCCTGGTTGCTGCAGAGTGGTGGAGGGCGGGGTTTCACTTAACTGGGGCTTATTTTTGGGGTAGGGCTTATATTACGAGCATCCTGAAAAATCATACTAGGGCTTATTTTCAGGGTAGGTCTTATTTTCGGTGAAACAGGGTATCACTGTCTATAAAACTCTCTGAGTAGAAACCTTCAGACTGAAGTGCTTTGTACAGCTCAAAAATGTTTTACTGGGCTGATGCATAATCTATACCATTTGGGTTCTTGTCTTTCTTCAGTCACAGCACTGCAAGCTTCCAAGAAATAGACAGAGATTAAGAGGCATAGGTAAGGCAATCTGTCTCCTGACTGAAGATCAGATCTCAAAAATTACACTTTTGGAATGATATACCATAATACCTGCTTGAATCTGCATTATCTTTCTCATGGTCTTAAGCTCTTGAAGAATAGCTTGCAACGCTGGTTGGCAATTACAAGTACAACAATTTGAGCCAGAGGAGGAATTAGCTGCTGGAATTTCTCCTGAGGATAAAAAAAAAAGAGAAATGAAAACAATGATACAGACCAAGACTTCTCAACAGAACATCTTGATTGGATTTTAAAACTGCCAATACTTGCTGTCAGGATGCTGAAACCTAAAATTAAAGCTTTAATTGTAATGGGGTGGCACAAATATTATATCACATAATATAAATACATTCTGTGAGGTTTGTGAAAAATAGCAAATGAGTTATAAGGTGGTGTAATTCCTTAGTGTGGAATTAATTTATAAGGGATAGGAATGGGACCAAATCTCATTATGGTTATATCATAAACAAGGAAAGGAAAGGAAATAATATATCTATATAACAATAGCCTTAAAATGGCTGAAATCACAACGTGAATCCTGTATGTGACGGTGTAATTTATTTATTTATTTATTTATTTATTTGACTTATATGCCGCCCATTCTACCCAAAGGTCTCTGGGTGGCTTACAACAATTAAAATACAATTAAAATACAATAAAAAGATAAAGCAATTAAAATACAATTAAAATAGATACTCTAAAAATTGCTATAAGTACCCACAGTTGATATTATTTCAATTAATGTAAAGGTGCAAAGCAAAGCATGCTGCTTATATACTGCCCTGTAGCACTTAAAGCACTCTCTGGGCAGTTTATACTTTAATTATGCAGGCTACACATTGCCACACTGCCCCCAGCAAGTTGGGTACTCAATTTACTGACCTTGAAAGAATGGAAGTCAACCTTGAACAGGCTACCTGAGCTCATCAGGACTAAAATCAGGTTGTGAGCAGAGTCTTGGCTGTAGTACTGCAGTTTCACCACTGAGCTATGAGGCTCCCAGGTGTTATGCCCAGGCAATAAGCAGTGTGCAAATCAGTTGTGCAATGCACCTATGGAAGTGCTTTGTTAATAGCACTTCTGCCTTTGCATTATTGCAGCTACTGCAGGCATAACTCAACATTACCACTCAATAAGATTTCAGACCATTAGTTAGCATAGTAAGTTGCAATTACAATAGGCCCCACTGAATGAATAGGAATTTGGAGACAGAACTCCTCCATAAATTCCTTTGATTCAATAGGCCTACTCTAGTTGCAACCTACTATGCTAAGCAACAGAATTTTGGCCAATGAAGAAAACATGTACTAAACATAATGTCAAGTAATGTAACATAATATAAAGTTACATTAAAAAGATCTGAACAGTCTAAAATGGACTGAATGCAAAATGTTTCTCCATAACATTAAGAATGTTAAAAACAGGCTGTTCTATTCCCAGTTTCCAGGGACAAAAAGGTTCTATCTCAGAGAAAGTACTTATGATTTAATCCTTCTCTCAACTAACTTCTCATGGTCTGGTATCAAGCTGAAGACAATTTTCACCTATATACTATATTCTATTTGTCCCTTCATCTGGAGAAAGGTAGCATAGAAATAAAATAAAATAAAACAGTAGGTTTCTCCAATATATCTTCATCAAATGTATTGTAGACAGATAATTTGCTTGCCAGCTAAAATCTCAAAGCTGCTGACACATGACTGTAGATGGTTCCTGGCGTTATAGAAATACAGGCCTTACCATCCTCGAGTCAGGCATCAATTTTCACATTTAAAATTAAGGAGTATTTCTAAATAATAAGCAAACAATCATTAATCAGCTGTTCCATGTAATTCAATTGTTAACCTGGATAATTTTGTCTGTGGAAAAAGATGATTCACATTTTTACTACAGACTAAAGTGTTTTGTGGCTTTTAAAATCTTTTAATGGGCACCCAATACACAGTGGTTTAAGCCCCAAGTAAGCACTTATTTTCCTCTATTCCCCATAGCGAGCTCCTAAAGGGAAATATATACATACACATATTATTATTCCCTGCTGTAGTGCCATGCTATTTTGCACTCTGTCTTTAATTTCCCAACCCAAAAATTTTATATTTCTTATCTCCAACATTAAAACCTCTCAGTGGCCCTCCCACCTTGCAGGGAGCAAGGATCTATTGTAATGGTCCACCCTCAAAGGCTACTGAATCCTATAGTATTCCAGGATACCATGAGAGGGATTCTGGCTGATTTGGCTGGTGCTGCTGTTGAGGCTCTGGTGGATGGCTGGGTTACGGCCGCCACTAGGGCTGTCGACACGATCGCTCTTAAACGCCCTATCCAATGCTGAGCGCGGCCAGCGTCCTTGTTTAACCAGGAACTATGAGTGATGAAGCAAACCAGGAGAAGGCTACAGAGCAAGTGGAGAAAGAAACCGACGGATTATAACAGAGAAGCTGTCAGGGTTGCGACTAGCCATTATCTGGCCAAGATAAGGGCTGCTAGTCGAGCTCACCTCGCTGACCGGATAAAGCAAGGCTTCAAATCAGCAGGTGGAAATTTTTCGTATATTTCACAACCTATCTGGAATTGGTTGGGGTGAAGGGCCTCCTTCTAGTATCTCACCTGACCAATTTGTAGCATTTAAAAAAATCTAAAGTGGAGGCCACCCGCCGGGAGCTTTCTCCGGTTTTGGTAACAGTGGATCGAGCAGAAATATCCAGTGCTCCGCCTTGCCTCGTGAGCTTTGACCATTTTCAACCTGTGACACCAGACATTGTGGACAAGGTGCTAGTTCGCTGTCGGGCCACCACTTCCTCTCTTGACCCTTTCCCGGCCTGGCTAATCAAAGCAGCCAGGCCTATAACAACTGAATGGGCCACAACGATAATTAATGGGTCTTTCCAGGAGGACAGGGTTCCTCCTGCCCTCAAAGAGACGCTCATTAGGCCCATTAGAAAGAAATTCAATCTGGCGGTAGACGATATTGGCAATTACAGGCCCATCGCCAATGTTTCTTTCATTAGCAAAGTGGCAGAGAGGGTGGTGGCCGATCAGCTTCAGGCGCACTTGGATGAAACAAATGCCCTGGACCAGTTCCGGTCGGGCTTCAGGCCGTGCCATGGTACAGAAACGGCATTGGTCGCCCTGTATGATGACCTATTGAGGGAAGCTGACAGGGGAAAAACTTCTCTGTTGGTCCTCCTCGATATCTCAGCTGCCTTCGATACCGTCGACTACGGTATCCTCCTGAAGAGGATCTCCAAGTTGGGAATTGGTGGCTCGGCATTGGCCTGGCTCTGATCCTTCCTGGGAGATTGTCCTCAGAGAGTTCAGCTTGGGGAGAGTGAGTCGGCCCCGTGGGGTTCCACAGGGCTCGACTATGTCCCCAATGCTCTCTAACATCTATATGAGGCCGCTGGGTGAGGTCATCAGGGGGTGTGGAGTGGTGTGCCATCAATATGCTGATGACACGCAGCTCTACATCTCCTTTTTTCCCCCAACTACAGTGGATGCCATTCTGTCCCTGCAGCGCTGTCTGGGGTCTGTACTGCGATAGATGCAGGAGAATGGGCTGAGGCTGAACCAGGAGAAGACGGAGGTCAGTGGTTTGGGAAACTCCCTCTCTTTTGGGGGGTGACTCTCACTGCGAAGAGTGAGGTTCGCAGCTTGGGGATCATCTGGACCAGGCGCTTACCATGGAATCCCAGGTGGCGTCCGTGGTCCGATCCGCCTATTTCCAACTGTGGCGGATTGCCAAGCTGCGTCCCTATCTAGATGGGGAGGTCGCTCACCACTCTGGTCCATGCGCTCGTAATCTCGAGGTTAGATCACTGTAATGCTCTCTACATGATGGTACATTTGAGATTAATGCGGAAACTTCAAATGGTGCAGAATGTGGCAGCCAGACTCCTTAGTGGGGTGAGAAAACATCATCATATCTCCCTCACCCTAGCCGCCTTACATTGGCTGCCCAGATGGGGAGGTCGCTCACCACTCTGGTCCATGCGCTCGTAATCTCGAGGTTAGATCACTGTAATGCTCTCTACATGATGGTACATTTGAGATTAATGCGGAAACTTCAAATGGTGCAGAATGTGGCAGCCAGACTCCTTAGTGGGGTGAGAAAACATCATCATATCTCCCTCACCCTAGCCGCCTTACATTGGCTGCCCGTTCTGTTCTGTGTTGATTTCAAAGTTCTAATGCTTATGTATAAAACCCTAAACGGTTTAGGGCCTCAATATCTGACAGAACGCCTCCTCCCACCCAAATCTACTCATATCACTTGATCTAGCCAGGAGGTGAGGCTGAGGAGCCTAACGCTGAGGGAGGCCCAGAAGGAAAAAACAAGAAACTGGGCCTTCTCGGCAGTGGAATAGCCTCCCTTCTGAGAGTTGTATGGCCCCTTTGCTGGGCATTTTCAAAGGCCAACTGAAAACCTGCCTATTTAGGCAAGCCTTCACTCTAGCCACCTCTTGATTTATTTTTTTCATTCATATTGAGTCCTTGTCTATTGATATACTATTTGTTTTATATTTTAAATGGTTTATTTTATATGTTGTTAGTTGCCCAGAGTAGCCTGTTGACTAAATGAGCAGGATACAAATTCAATAAATAAATAAATAGTCCTCCATGCATCCGTTAAGTTCATCCGCCATTGATAGAAAAATCTTGGGTATTAATGCTCTCTTTTTTCTTTTATTTTCACTTCCTTCTGGGCTTGTGTCTAGATTCCCTTCAAATACCACATTAAAATCTCATACAAAACAAAAGTCCCAATATTCTTTCTCTGAAATTTCTTTCTGCAAATTTTGGAAAAAGGTTTCTTGATTCTGATTAGGAGCATAAGTGTTTACAGTCAAAACTTTCTCTTTTCCTCTTTGAATTTTTACCATAGGTATTCCTCCATCCTGCGATGCATACATGAATTTGGGGCTTAGTTATTCTTTTACATATATTGCAACACCTCACTTTTTTCTTTACTGTCTGATGCTGTGAATAATTTTCCTAGTTTCTTCCTCTCTAAGTATTTCTGGTAATGTTTCTTTATACAGTGGTGCCTCACACAACGATTGCGTCATACAACGATGAATTCACACAGCGATGGGTTTTTTTGAGGAATTTCCCCCATCGTTTAATGATGTTCTCTATGGGGGAATTTCACTTAACGATGTCCCTTTTTGCTCATT